TATACGATTTCCAAAGTTCTTAATTTAAACTTACAGTTACTCGTCGTGAATACAAATAAAACTTAACAATAACAGAAAATTGTTTAAAACATTACGAATTATACAAGGGTTACCTAATCATGACGACGAAATATATGTTACCGAACCTCCTATTAAGTTGAGTAAAGATTTTTAGGTAGGATCGACAAACTTATCTTTCAAAAACCACAAACGACCATAATTATATCTTATTTAAATTCTTATAAAAGATTATGTTAGATTAATTCTAGATAGTCTTATTTAAAAACGTATATGTTTTAAATAGCTATTTATTCAGAAATTAGTTTGTTTTAACATAGCATCTCTAGAAAAGAATTCTTTTTCGATAATAGGAAATTGAAAATAAAAATTGATAGTTAAGTTTATTACACACAAAATAATAATGAGTAGGCTTATTAAACGAATATTCCTGTAAATATACCATCAATTATCAATAACAGACCTTAACGTAAAATAACTATAATTACAGATAACTTGATGAATGAACTTGATGATGAATATGCTATTTTTTATCTCAATATTTTTATGAGTGGGTACGCAGCAAAAGTAAATTTGAATTTATTCTATAAATCCTATCAATTAACCCTGACATATAATCATAAGATAAAATACAAACATAATATAATCTATGGGTTATTATAAACCGTGAGTTTTTCATTCTACCGTTGTAGAGAAACATTTTTATGTGTGGGTACGCACCAAAAGTTAATTTGCATTTATTCTATAAATCATATCAATTAACCGTGACATATAAATCATAAGTTCAAATACAAACATTATATAATCTACAGTTTATTATCAACCATGAGTTTTTCATTCTACCGTTATAGATAAACACAATTATATCGTTATACACCTTCGACAATTAATCAGAAATCTACACATTCATATATTTCTAAGTTCTTAAACCAAACCTACAGTTAATTTTCGTGAATACAATATATCATTTAGGAATATTAAAACAATTTTTTAAACGTTAGGAAATATTCTAGGCTTACCTAAATATTACGACGAAATATATCTAACCAAATCTACTTTTACTTCAGTAAAGATTTTAAGATCGGATCTCTAACCTAACTTTCAAACACTACAAACGACCATTTCTGAATTAAATCATAATTAGATTCTTCAAGTAGATTATGTTGCAAACATTCTCGATAGTCGAGTTTTATAAACAGATATGTTTTAAATAGCAATTTATTCTGAAATTAGTTTTATTTTAACACAGCATCTCAAGAAATGAATTCTTTTACGATAATAAGAAATTGACAATAAATATTAGAATCTTAATTAAAAAATTTCTAGTTGACTATGTTGCAAAAATTCTCGATAGTCTTGTTATATAAACAGGTATGTTTTAAATAGAAATTTATTCTGAAATTAGTTTATTTTAACACAGCATCTCAAGAAAAGAATTCTTTTACTATAATAAGAAATTGACAATAAATATTAGAATTTAAATTTATTACAAAAGAAATAATAATGAGTGGGCTTATGATACGAATATTTATGTAGATATACCATCTATTTATCATAACACACCTTATCATATAATAACTATGATTACGGATAACTTCCAAAATATATCTACCTACAGAGAAGATGAATGAAAAAAAATGATGAATAAGCATTTTTTCATTTCTAAATTTTTNTTTTTCTAAAACAAATTGAGTGAATCATTTTATATTGTTTTTGTTTATCCTTAATATTTTATATTATAATTACTGATTTATTAAAAGTATTCATTTTATTAATGCCACATTTAGTGAACAAATTCATATAAAACTCTGAATATATCATAGTCTTGTTATGAGTTGAACTATTTTTTTATGTTATCTTACAAATATCACAAAAAATAAAAAATAATAGCTAACCTATACAAGTTGTATTTTTATTCATTCAAATCCAGCAACTATGACATGTTTATTCATCCATATCGGAAATATGCTTATATAATAAGATTGACTTACAGTCCTATTTTAAGTTTTGTTCTCTCGTTTTCTTCCCATATGTATCCTATATATAAGTACCTAATTACATTATTATACGAGCATTTGCCTTGTGGTTTAACTTGAAGCTCTCTTATTATGCGTGCCTACAATAAATTATTATTTTTATTAAAAAACCGAATTCTATTAGTCTCCAATTTTATTAAGTTTGTCGACATAGTAAATATATTGTATTGCCTATTATAAATTAAATTTCATATCATAATACACTGACTCCAGTAACTCATGTTTTCAAAACGGTAAACTTTATTTTAATTATTATTATTATATTATTAACTTCCTACCTTCTCTTAATGTATACAAGATTTGATAAAAATTAAAAATATATACACGTAAAAAAATTCTCATTTGGATAAACCAAAATATACATTATAGGAATACATATTATATTATTTCTAACTCTTAAATAACACTCTTTCACGACAACTTTAAAACCACAAAAATAAATAAAATTGTGTTATAATATATCATAAGTATAACTCAAAATTTACCATTTATTTAGTTTTGAAAAAAAAAAACTACCTTTGGAGTAGCATTATTACTTCAGTATCAAGAAAATGTTTTTACAGAATATCATCTCGTTAAAACTCGTGCGATTCATTATTATTTTCCTAATCAATTCGTTATAGTTAAAGATAAGTGTACACTAAACTGATTAGTTTTTCTTATTTTTTTTTTAGTAAGTTAAATATAGAATGTAAAATATAGTATACACGCCACTCATATTTTGTATAAATTATCATATTGCGATATTGCGATGATTATCTATACTCACATAATGTATAATTTTTTCTATTTATTTCTTTAAACGCCATTGAATTTAGTTTATTTTTAATTTCTATAGTACTAATAATATTATTTATTATATTTGATTTGATTTTCGAAAATTATGCGTAATAAATTAATAAATACATTTTTTTTTTATTATTATTTTAATTATTATAATTAATTCTTCAATAAAGGCAAAAATATACGTAATCACGTGTAGAATTTACAAATTACCTATATTAAAAAGTGAATGTGATATATTTATACTTTTCTTTGAAAAAGCGACTTTTTAGTGAATTATAATGAAAAAAACAACTTTTAGCTGTTATTAATAACGAAGTATAAATAATTTTACATTTGAGCAATTATATTTTTACACCATAGGTGAAATTTTGTACTTAAATAAAATAAATCTTCAAACGTACACGCAGGATCAGTCATGCGTAGTTAATTTATAGTAAATATAGCAGCGTTAGGTTTAATCAATAAAATACACGCGCGCTTACGATTTGCTGGGGGATCAGTAAGATACGAAAATATATTTTTTTTTTAAAAAAACATTATTAAATGTTGGAATAAATCATTTATGGATATTATTAAATTAAATCAATTTTCAATTTTTTAAAATAAATAGTTTTTTATTTTATTATATTATTATAAAACACCAAGCGAAAAATTTGGCAACTAAACAACATACATATTAAAAAATACATTATATTTAACACCGATTCTTTTGTTTTATTATAGAATAATCATAATTGACGTGAAAATTGTTAGAACAAACGAACCGAACTCATATAATACACCAAATACATACGATCGCATATTTCACGAGTTTATTACGACCAAGTTAATTTTAACGTTTGCATGATCGCCACCCCGCGAGACAAATATTTTAAGCGTATAATAATTTATATGGATAGTGGAAAAAAAATGTAATCATTAACCGTAGAATAATGTATAATTGCTATTACTAGCGAAATATCAAACCTATAACTATATTTATGATATTGTTATTTTATATATTGACAATTATTAATCATCGGGTTCGCATATAACTATTTAAAAATAAATTGTTTAAAATCACACATAATACCATCGTTTTTCGTATATTATGTATGAATTTGAATTGCATTAAAATGCATTTATCCTTAACAACATCCATATATTATTATACGCTTATTTACATTATGTATATACATTATACATAGATATTATAGTAATACGATCACGAGGGGCGAACGTGCAAATTTGTCGTATAATTATTCTAAACGACATATTATCAGAAAAAAGAGAAAAGACAGAAAAAAAAAATGTTTAAAAAATGATTATGTGCCCTTACATTATCTGAACCATGGCATAACGGTCGTGATTGCATCAATTTACATGTATAAATATAAATATATATATATATATATATATATATATATATAATTTATATATATAAAAACAACACTTGCGGCGTCGAGCTTTTTTCGACCCCCGGGAATACAACACACAGGTAGATACGTATACTTTTTCTCCTCGCCGATCGCTGTGAAATTTTAGAATTATCATAAAAAAAATAAATAATAAATAAAAATATAAGTATAAAATTTAATTCACTTTTTTTTGTCTTTTTTTACAAAGTTATTTTTTAATTATTAAAATTGATTAATAATAAATAAACATATGTGTATATCACTTGTTCAATGAGACCTGCACGCAACGTCAAATAAACTCTGCTATTATATTATTTATATTTGCGCAAATAATAAACAAGGCATGGTTCCAGAGGTTTTTGACTCCCTGCAGTATGCAGTATACGATACATGACAAGAATCTATATATTCTGGATCGTCCAAAAATCTTCGCCTTTTTATTTTTTTGCCGAGGATCTATATTAATCGTAGATACACTATACAAATACCAATATTAGGTTATTGTATTATGGGTCTCTATATAAATATTAACGTTTTTGATGTAGACGAAGTCCGGAAACCTGCAGGTTTATAAAAATAAACGTTGGCAATCCTATAAAAATACAACTTGGGAATTTTTTTGTTTTCAATTATTATATAAAGTATTATGTAACACTGCTATGCAATAAAATAAACATAATGTTATATAAAAAAAAGAACCTCACTCCGACGAAGCGTATAATTTTTTTTTTTTTTTTAGTCACAGAAAACTTGATTCGCTCCGCCACGATTTCCCTCTATAAACTTTTAAACACCACATTAGTTTACTATAGAACAAACTAATGAGAATTCTGCACGTGTGTGTATATATCTATAGTTTTTTTTCGTATCTCATAAATATCTGTCCACTTAATTCAATGGACTTGCATAGAACACAATATAATTACATACACCGTACAACATTTTGGAGTGTGAGAATAAATCTAAAACAAATTTAAAAAAAAAAACAAACATAATAATTTATTGTCATTTTGAAATATATAATTCGAAGCGGAACCGAACTTTAAGCGTTTGTTATAATAATAATCTTAATATATTTTAACTTAGTACGACAGATCTTTCTTATATTATAAACAATAAATTGTGAACATCGAAACAATTCGCTTTATGCCAGTTAAAATAAACATATACTTTAATAAACCCCTTTAACTTTCTAAAAGAAATCATGATAGTTACTACAGTAAACTTCCGTATCATCTCTACACAACGGTATTTTTTTTGGTCCCGTTAAGCGTTATGTCTCTATATAAAGCACCTCTATAAGACGATTACCCATAAATTAATTAATTCCGGGCCCTCCGATGACTACATGGAAATTTTACTGTATTTTCAGAACTCTGGAAAATGTCAAAATTGACTAGATAAAATAGTATTTTCTTTAACTCTAACATTAGACACGCTATGATTTAAAAGCGAAAAAAATAAACTAACCCCGATGAGTGGTCCTATACTTCGTAATGTAAATGTCGTCACAAATATAATAAAATAATATGATCGGATAATACAGAACAAATCGATAGGTAATTATTATAATTTGTATAATATTACGGTGTGCTGGAGTTAGGTTTAAAAATAAGGCAGAGTTCGGCTCCGCTGATTATTATAGGTACAAACTTAATGTATAAATACTACATTTCTAACTATATTATATATTTTAAACTTTAAAACTAAATATCGTACATGGTGTATTAAATGAGTCGGTCTTGCAATATATTTATTCAATACCAATTTATTATAATAACTAAAAGAAAAAAAATACTTAATTTAAGAATGAAAATGTTCATCTTATATTGTTTTACGTGTAATTACTAATCAACGAGTCTATAGTAAAACAAATAATACACTGTATCTCCTTAATCATATGAAATATGTGACTTAACGTAAAGACACTTTACTTGAATTCTTTAATAAT